TTCTTTAAGCCATCAGATTTGGCTGTTGAGGGGTAGTTTTCTTCAACAAAAAATGCTTGGAATGCATTGCTGCAGCTTTGTAGGCATTGCTGGCTATCCTGTAAGAAGGACAAAGACTGAGTAGATGTTCTCACCTGATGCAGAATGACCTACCTGTAGGGTTTGAATTATTCTGAAATCCAGATCAGCTGCCTTCCATCTGCCTGTCCTGTGAATACTTTCAGTGCTTCAGGTCACTTCTTCCCTCCTGAACTGTGACAAAGTGTGGAAGTTTGGAACTATTAAAGAGAAAGGTTTTTGGGTTGTTTGTATGGGTAAGTTAAAGGTATTTATGACAAAGCATTTTTTTTTTTCTAGTGAGATTTCTCATAAAAACACACAAAAATAAGTAGCCCTATGGATTATTAACGTTTAACATTGAATTATTAGGGCATAGGTATTGCATTGCAGTCCAAGTATAGCCAGCTCACTATCAGCAGATGTACTGCTTACGCTGCCTTAAAGGACACAGGCTGATATCTGGACTGCTGTAATTAAGTGAGGCTGCATGTTCTGTGTCTTGCTGTAATTACATGCTCATCCTCTTTTTCTTTTTTGTTACAACACAGTTTAAATCCTGAGGACAGCTAGGACGTGACTTTGTTCTGCTTTGGGCAAGGCACGCCTGGTAAACCTTGTGACACCATTGCAACAACTGACTTGGTAATCAGGAAAGCAAGCCTGCCGTTTCCATCCTACAGTAGCGAGGAAGATGTAATGCTTTACAGAAGTTCCTGAGACGCAGCTGTGTTTTTCTTTCTGAGCTGCTGGGAGCAACTTCACTTTTCTGTGTGCAACTTCTGTATGCATCCAAATTTGGATCAAATTCTTTTGAAAGAGTGAAATCACCTGTGGGTAAAAATAACATCCTAGCGTGGCTTTTAGCTTCAGTGTTCAGGAAACACAGATAAGTTCCTTAAAGAGAAGTGATAGCTGGCATCAAACTAAATGACTATACAGACAAGAAATTCTAATCCTAATCCCCTTCACTCGTTATGAATGTCTTTGTAATGCACTGTGTTTTACACAGGTGCCTATGACAGCCAGGACAAACATACTGCTCCCTACAACTTCATTTACGAGGGCCAAACTGTAGGAGGGTCGTGTTATTGCAAACTGGCTTTACTGAGTCAGCTAAAGGTCACCTTATCAACTGCTGTGTCCTGTTGCAGACTGTGGCTTTGCTAAGGCTACACTGATTTGTGCAGCTGATATGAATCTAGACCTTAATTAGGGATTTTAGCCAGTTGTTTTTCTTTTGTACTCCAGAGATACCTACATCTATTTGCTATAGACTCTTTCATGTGACCAGAAAGATGGGACAAGTCCTTGGTGGGAAAGATAAGCCGTGCTGCTCAAGTTGAGAAATGCCTGTGTGGTAAACAAACTCCTGTGTCTCCCATCCTTCCTTGTGACCACTTATTTCCTGTGCTGTTTTCTCAGTGCATTCATTCTCCTTCATGTAGAAATTGATGAAATGGTGCATTGGCTGCCCCCCACCCTTCTGTTATCTTTCAGGTCATTGACCTGAGGTGCAACCATGCTTTGGGTTGAGTTTCTTGTTACCAGTAACTCTGGAGCTGGGAATTTGTGAACTTTATTGGAGGATTGCTAGCTCAGAATAGCTTACAGATCCAATGCCAGGGATGAACTGGAAGGGTGATGCAAGTGGTGCATTGTGTAAACTGCCTTGGGTCACACAAGTGGGCAGAAATGAGTTGTTCCATATGGGGAATGAGTTACCTAAACCAGGAACTTATTTCCACTTTCTCTGCGTGTCCACAGCTGTATTAAGAGCTGATTCTTTGCTTAAGGTAGGAAAGAATTTGCAAATGGAATTTGTTATCTTTTTTCTTTTTTTTTTTTCCAGAACGTGGAGTGAATTTTGTAGTCACAGGAAATGGTTTTGTAACAGGAGTCAGGTGATTTGGCATGCACAAGCATGAAGTACAGGGGCCCAATCTGCATTTATCCTGGATCATATTAAGGCTCTTATCCTACATCTCTCCCATCTCTGCCCTTGATGGCATTGCACAGCACCTCAGCTGAGCCTGCACTATCAGCACAAGTTGAGGCTGCTTAACTTGTAGCCAGCTCCCCCTCTCCCACAATCTCTTCTTGTGTCACTATTAAGAGCAACAGAAAAATGAAAAGGCTTCTTCGAAGGGGAAAGGTGTGCGGTGGTGGTGGATTTTTAACCCTTTCTTTGGGTTTCTTGAATACTTGGATTTGGCTGGTGGTGTTTTCTTGGAGCTTGTTCCATAGCCAGACTGTAACCAAGAACTTTTCCTGTTCTCCCCCAGCAAATCCCTGCTGCTTTGGGATCCTTTTTGGTCAGGACAGCAGATGTGACCGTTCTTCAGATCTGTGTCAACCTAAAAGTAGGACTCCATACAAGGGTTTCACAGCTTCGTTAATTTGGAAAATCTGCAATAATGCCCTGATTTGGATCGATCATTTAGACAACTGGCTTCAATTGTTAGGCGTGCTTTACAGAGGCAAGCAGCAAGGTTCTGCGCTTACCTATCTGGGCCTTTACTATAACATTCACAGCTTTGCTTTGGCTGCTGCTCTTGGCAGGAGATGTGCTGCAGCACATGGCTTCTGCAGAGCTGACTGGCATCAGATGAGAAACTGGAATAAAATCCTTTCAAGTCCCAGCGACTGCAAGTGTCTGTGCAGGCAGCAGATACAAGTGCAAGACTAAGACATGCATTTCATGCTTCCTCCTTGCCCCAACGTGTCAGTACATATAATTCACACTGGCTGTAATTTCGATGGCATGAGAATTTAGTGAGATCAGGCTCAAGCTGGTGATCTGAACAGCTGTTGCTTGCAAAGAGCTTTCGGTGTCAGCTGGCCCAGCAGTCAGAGCTGCAGCTCAGCCCATGTGAGCTTTTCTGTACAGCACTTCCATTAACTGGAGGTAATATTACCTATTACCTGGAGGTGCTTGAGCCAACCTGCTTTTGTTGCCTTGGAAAGTGAGAACCCTGGGACTCCACTTGAGTCAATTGTTGATAAATGTAGAGTCCACGAATGTGATCCTTGACAAAGGGTGCAGTCACTGTGGTGCATTTGCCACCCCAGGACTTCAAGCTTGGCCACTCCATTTCTGTTTGCAAAGGGTTAGGCCTGTCAATAGCAACAGCCCGTTGTTAGGAGGTGGTGGAAGCTGAACTCCTGCAGGCAGCCAGAGCAGCTCAGGATCACACGCTGTGCTCTCATGTGCTCCTTTGCTGGTGGTCCCCTTCACTCTGAATTTTGCAGACACATCCACATCTGCCTCTGTAGTGTTGCAACCTCACCCCCAAACAGGGAAAAAAAAAAAAAAAAAAGTGCAGCTTGCCCCAGGTCATTTGCTGGCTCAGGCCATTATCCAAAATAGAACTGGTTGCTTCTGCCACATCAGTTAACCTTTGGGCTGTGCCACTGAATCTTTTTTTGGGTCTCCAAGAATTCTCTGCCCTTTGTCAGCACAGCAGGTACTGATTAACAATTAAGGCACGTCTGAAGTAAGAAGGTTAGTGGGCTGCTAACTTCACAGATCTATCCACAGCTCTGGACTGCAGTTTTCCAGTACTTAAAGGGAGCTTTAAGTACTAAGCAGGAAGGGGCAGACAGTGATAGGACAAGAGGGAATGGGTTTAAACTGAAAGAGGGGAGATTGAGGTTGGATGTGAGGATGAAATTTGTTACTCAGAGGGTGGTGAGGTCCCAGCACTGCTGTCCAGAGCTGTGGGTGCCCCATCCCTGGAGGTGCTCAAGGCCACGGATGGGGCCCTGCGCAGCCTCAGCTGCTGGGAGGCACCCAGCCCAGACAGGGGGCTTGGAACTGACTTGGCTTTAAGGTCCCTTCCAATCCAACCTGTTATTATTCAGTGCTGTTTGTATCCTCGCTCTCCAGAGTTAATTCACCATATGGAAATGGACGAGCTATTCAGGAGCAGGTGAGGTAGCAGGGTGGAAATTCTGCATGAGATGATGGCAGGCAGCCATAACAGCAACAGCTCCTGGGTTTGTGAATCTGCAGAGCTCGCCTTGTGAGGTTCCTGGGGCCGGTTTGGCAGCCCCAGCCCTGTGTTGTGGCTGTTCTGCAGCTGCGATGTTCTCAGCGCTGTCCTCTCCTCTGCACCTGCTGCTGCTCCAGCTGTGTTCCTGAGCTGCTGGCAGGACCTGGCCCGTGCCTGCACACCACAAGGGAGAGAGGAATGTGTCTGGGAAATGGAGGCGCTGGGGAGAGGAATATGCAGGAAAAACAAGGCTGGGGAATTCTTGGTCTGTGTTGGCAGGGTAGCAGCAGTAACTCATTTGAGGATGCAGCTGCTTGGCCATCAGGATAAACACTATCTTGGCTGTTGTGCAACTTCCCAACTGAGAACAGAAGACCTATTTGACTGCTTTTATACAAATAAAAGAAGCAAAGGGGGCACGCACGGAAGCACAGGCTGCTGCAGCCAGGCTGCTCGGCGCTGTCGGTTGGCGCTCAGTGCTCTGAGCTGCAGCGCTGCCCACGAGCCCGTGTCCTGTGAGCAATCATCGCACCACTTCCTCTGCTTGCTAGGGCAAAGCCCTCGTAACACGGATAGGAAATAGACATGCGGCCGTTTCCATCGCGTTCCCTTGCTCTCTGCTTCTGTTCGGGGCCGACTCACCCCTCCCCTGCAGCCGGGAATGGGCCGCGTGCGCTCGGCGTGTCGCTGCAGAGCGGGGTCAATAACCGCGGGTGACCTCAGCCGGGGAGGTGGGCGTGGCCACACGGTCTTTCGAGCAGCGCGCGGCAGCGGAGGCCCCGCCCCCTTCTCCCGCGCGCGCTAAAGGGGCCCCGCGTGGCGGCGCGCGGCCGCTGTTCCCGCGTCGCGCTGGGGGTTGCGCGCGCCCGCCCGCTCCTGAGGTAACGGCGCGTGCGCGCGTGCGCGGCGGGGCTGAGGGAAGCGAGCGGGTGGGGCGGTGGGCGCCGCTGAAGGGCTGCCGCGTGGAAAAAGCTTCGGCTGCGTGAAAATCACGAGTGTGCGGGGATCGGGTTGTGAAGGGCTGCGCTCCTTGAAGCCTTCGTTTAGGAACGAGGTGCTTTTAAATGGAACTGAAGTGTCGGTGAGCGGGGTGGGAAGTGAGAGCTGACTGCAGGCTGGACGGGAACGAGAGAAAATCCCGGCTGAAGGGCTGCGGGTGCGGGACGGAGCCGCTGCCCACGCCTTAATGCCGTGCGGGGATGTGGCGTTTGGTGCCGGTCGGCTCCGAGTCTGAGGGAAAAACAGAGAGAAAATCCGCCCTGGGTTCGATAGAAGCTGGCAGTGCGTCTCCAAAAGTGTATTTCCGTGCTTTCTGAGCGCGTGTGAGGGAATTTCCCTTCTGCAGACAGATGCGCGTTGCCCCGTGATGAAGCCAGCGGTCCTTTAGGAAAGAGGAACCGGCGGCAGCCCGTGAGGCGCGGCGGGGTTCAGCCCGAGCTGCGCGGAGCTGAGCGGCCGGCCGTGATGGTTTACGTGGCAGAGAGAACAGCCACGTAACTGAGATCCACAGCCCTGCTCTGCGTCGCCTGTAGAGAGGCGCTGCGCCCGGAGCCGCTCTGTGGGTGCCTTCGTTGACCCGAGGCTCGGAGCTGCTGTCACATCTCGTGTGCCCCGCTTGCTGTGGGCTCAGCCGTCTCCAGGCTGGGTTTGGTGCCTTGGGCTCGCTGTGCTCAGCGGGGCCGTCCCAGGGAGCGGTTACAGTGCTCAGAAAGCTGCTATCGCTGTACGGGTGACGTTTAAGAAAAGTGGGTTGCGAAGGATCTGTTTCCTCACTTTGTAAATCTGCAGAGAACTAGAAGTCCAGCTTTTGCTTTTGGTGGAATTCTGTTCTGGATACCCGGTGAGGTGACAGTCACAGTAAGGACTGGGCAGGCTCAGGAGTGCTGAGCATGTGAGGAAAAGGAAAAGAAAACAGCAGGGAGCAGAGCAGGCTTGTGGTAGCGAGCGTTGGGATGACTGATGAACATAACCTTAATTTGGATGGGTGTTTTTGAAGCTTTACACGTGTTTTGAGTAGGGCATATTGAGATCCTATCATCAGTGAAACCTCTAGCTCTGTAGCTCTGCCTGTTGTGTGTGCACACAGCTGCACTGTTAGTTTGTTCTGGAAGCAGAGCTGTTTCCACAAAATAGTTCATAAACTTGCAGGTCTCCAGGATACAGCGCTCAAAGCAGGGGGCAGTTTGTAGTTAAACGACTTCTGCTTTCACACAGATGTAATTAAAAGGGAGCTTTCTCTCACCAGGCTTTTCTCTGGGTGTGTGTTCGTGTTTCTAACAGCTGTGGCACGTTGCAGAGGGTTAATTCCCCCACAGACTGTATGTGCTCATTCCTGATCCTGTTCCCCCACCCATCAAGCTGCTGTGGGAATGAAGTGTGTGCGTCACTGGGTGCTTTGTGCAGCACAGCTGTGGTTGTGGCAAAGCAACACAAAGTATAGGGCCATAGCTAGATTGCTTGACAGAGCTGGTGAGGAGAGTACAAGTTTCATACATTTGCTGTATGAAATGCATGGCTGGCTTGGGCTCCCTCAGCCCTGCGTTCACAAGGGAAGTCACACAGCTAGGTTGCACTTTGGCCGTCTGCTTTTGTGCTGATGTTTCATGATCCAAGTATATTTGGGTACTCCAAAAACTCTGCTGCTTGTGCTGTTCTTCTCTAGATGCTGAGGGCCATGTGGCATTAACACCTTGATTCTCCTGGGAGATCCCAGGCCCACCTGGAGTAGTGGTGCTTCTCCCTGGGCTTCCAGGCTGTGCAATCTCACGTTGCCCTGGTTGCCCGCAGGGTCTGTGGCTCTCAGCAGGTAACACGGTGAGGCACTGCAGGAGGGCTGTTGGGGGCTCCCAGGGCAGGCACTGTGCCATGCAGAAGCTGGCGTGCTCTTATAGACCTGGGTTTGAGTTCCTCCAGGCTGGGCAGGCAGCTTTACCCGTGCTCCACCATTCTGCAAGCACTGGGCTACTCTGCAGAGGTAACGCCTGGGTTTCTCCCAGCTGACTTATACAAAGAACAGAATAAACCACTGTGGTGTTTCAGTCTAGAGTGGGGTATTGGGCAGCGTTTGCCACTTAGTCCAATGCTTCTGAGATGGGATTTTGGAGACGCCCCTCTCTCTGCTGCTCATGAATTGCAGTTTTTTTAATTGGGAATTGTAGCTCGTAGCATTGTGCCGTTGTGCAGACGAGGAGTTGGAAGGGGGGTGTGCTTCTAGCCAAGAGAGCAGGTCTGCATGCTTGAATTGCAGCTGGCCGTGCCTTTCTCCACTGCTGGCAGAAGCAGGATGCTGCACAGTCACTTCTTCCTCCAGACCTCCAGGCCACATCTGATTCATTAGAGAAACGTCTCTTTCCTCTTGCTGGTATCTGTCATCGTTCCGGCAGACGTGCTCCTCGCATTGCCTGCTTTCTGTTGCCCTAATGGAGAAATCATTAACACGGCATGCTAAAATCCAATTTTATAAGGATGAAGGATCAGATTCACTTTTGAATCAGTTACAAATTCACGGAAGCAATTAAAGCTCAGCCTGTCAGGTTGTGAGCATCAAAAGCTTTCGATGACTGTAAACCTCTAAATAAAGGCAGCGTTGCTTTCAGTATAAGAAAATCCTTCGTTTAGATGATGAAACCCCTTAATGACAAAGGACTGAAGGCAGTGCTGAAAACACAGCAGCTGCCAAGCACCGATTCTTACGAGATGAGGTTTTAAATCCCCAGGGAGCAGAAATGCAGGGGGCTGAGCCCCCCCAGCTGCCCCAGGCGTGCACAGAGGAGCCCCGAACCTCCCACGCCCCGAGAGCTGAGCACGGCAAGCAGGCGTGGGGCCAGAGCTTCCTCATTAGGCGGCGGTGTGGGGTGACGGGCTGCTTCCAATTGCAAGGCAGGGAGCACATGACATAAGATGCTCCAGATCTGCCTCATGGGCGCTAGTTTAAAAATAAAGGGTATTTTGCATCGGTGCTGGTTCAGAGAGGCTGCGGGAGGAGAGGCTGCACAAAGGAGCAGACGATGCGTTGTAAGGCCGAGCCGGAGCACTGCGGTGGGTGAACGTGGGGAGGGCTGAGAGCTGAGCCTTAACATCTGGGGCAGGAGAGTGCAGAATGTAAAGGTTAACCTCGCTGTGCTTTTTGTAAGCTGTGATCGTCGTACTTGTTCTTAAGTGTGAGAGTGGGTGTGTAATCTCATTCTCATCAGGCTTGCCAAATGCAGCAGGCGTGATGTGCAGAGCACTTTGTCTGGTGATAGAATTTACCATATTTAATGCAGACGTAGCAATCTCGGATCACATCAGCTTTGGGTTTGTCGTGGTCAGAAGGTCCCATCAGTTGAAGCTGATTTCACTGTACTGTTCGATTCCTAAATCCTAATTTAAAACCTACTTTTACAGGGACGATGCTGTGTGAGGCAGAGGCGCGTTCGACACTTGCAGATCCGGTCCCCATGGCTTATCTCAGTGTGGATGCTCAAGGGAGCAGTGAGGTGTCGCTGGATGATATCACCATCAGCTCCTCAGCTAGGTTTGTCTAATCTGAGATCTTACTGGTTTTTTTTTTCCTGTCATTACCTGCGTGCACAGCACATAGCTTGGATTCAAACAGACTTGGATTAATCGGGACAATCTGAGTTTTAGAGTCAATTTCAAACATTTCTTGCTACTTATAAAATCCAGAAGTTGAATCTGTGCTCTCATCCCCTGCAAAGAAGGAACAGAATTATTTTTACTGTGTGTAGCTACAGAGTGCAGAGCTTGGGGTAGTGTGTGTTTGATAGAGACCCAAGGCATAGAAATGGTAGAATGTTCTGCAGCTTCAGAAAGATGAACTTCTTACAGAGGAACTCCATATAACTGTTAATTTGACCTAACTGGGAGGACGCTGATGAAATTCTTAGTAAGCACTGTGTGCACTTGTGAAGCATTGCTGTATTGTAAACCAGAGATGAGCCTCTTTAGGCACAGCTTGTGTACAGCACCTGTGCTGATTTTTACCAAGCTAGGCAGCCTTGTAGTCCCTCTGTTAATCTATGTAGCTCATGCTGAAGAGCAGATTAATAATTAATTGCTAATCAAGTGTAATGGGGTAGAGCTAGCAGGCTTCCGAGGTGCTCTTTACCTATTTTGAGAGGGGCTGTGTAAAAATTACATATATTGTGGAGGAGGGAAAGATGGCTTTTGATTCGCTGTAAGGGAAGTGACTGCGGGGTTTTTCTTCTCGTATAACTGAGTCACTTCCATGCTTTGCCCGCGAAAGCAGGTGCAGAAATGATGCAGACCTTCTGCAACAGGGGGGTAATCTGTGCTGCAAACTGTTCTCAGTGCTGATGAAGAAATGTGTACTGAGGAAGATCTCGTGATCCCTTCGGGAGAAATAGAGGAAACTGATGGATGTTTCTCTGGTTTCTACCCTGCAGATCAGGTAGAAGTGGTTCTGCTTTTGGGCAGTGCATAGGAGTAGCTGTCAAAGCTGTGTGCCTTAAATCATATCGTATGTCCAAAGCCATAATTGTTTAATATCCCTTAGAAATTCAAACAAAACATAAACTGGAGAGAAGTAATTTACAGCTTAGACTGAGATCACGTGGGGCTTTGTGGCTGATTTATCTCTGCTTTGATCCAGCAGAAAGAGAAGCAAACGTGAGGCTTGGCTGGCAGCCTGCTGGGGTTAGGCTGAAGGGTTTGCATGGGACTGAGTGCTTCCTGGTTAGTGACAGTTAGTGAGCCGTGTTTTTGCTGTGCCTACAGACAGAAGAGCTGGGTGAGCCCTGTCTGTGATGTCATGGGGGGACCCTTCTGGAACATCACTGAGTGCTTGCAAGAAACCCATGCTCAGTGTTGCAGTGGGGAAGAGTGATGGTTTGAAGGAGCAAACTCTGTCATGACACCCTTGAGCAGAGATCCCCCAGGAAGGCTGCTTGGCAAGGCAAGGTGGAACTGTAGTTTCTCTGGGATGTAATCTTGGGTGGAGCAAAGCTTGGGCCTTGGTGCTGAGGTGGTACAAGTGGGGTCCGTGCAGGGTAGGGAACAAATATCACCTGCCTGTAGTTTGGAAGTGGGAGGTGTTGTTTTGGGGGCAGAACACAGAGACTCCAATACCAAATCTCATGGGGGCTGCCTTCCAATTTGTCACCTGAAGTGGGATTTGTGACTTAGTTGTTCCATGTTCTCATTGGTTAAAGCTTTATGAAAGTCAGTTTTGGAAAAGGTCAGAGTAAGAGCACTGTTCTACCAATGCAGACAGGAGGCTTTTACCAAATCTTGCAAGACTGAACATAAAGAGGGCCACTTTCATATGGAACCACAGTGCAAACTGCTTGAGGAGCACGGCTGAAGTAGAGGCACATCTGAGTGCCTTTTCAGTTACTTCACAAACATCTGCTGGAGCCTGATGGATGAACTTTAGTAGGAGTACCTAAGAACAGGATTTCCTGCTAAATCAATTTCCTGCTCTGAGCTGGCCTTACCTTCTGCAGGAAATCTCTGGGTTTTCCAAAGGGTCACTGGGTGGTTCTGCACTGCACAGCAGGAAGGCCTCGGGGGCTGCTGCCCTCGCTTCGACTTGCTTTTCTCCTACCTGTATCATGCACCAGCTCTGCACGCCTGTTTTTGTTCTCACCCTCCTCACTGCTGTTTCAGGCACACAGAGCGTTCAGGTGCTGGTAAATTATCAGGCTTTCTGGATGCAGTGTTCTTCTGCAGTGTATCTTCCAAATAGAGCAGCACACAAAAGCAGGGCAGGCAAAGATGGCACACTTGCTTAGGTGGGCCTGTTTTGTTCCGATATCCATGCAGCCTGAGCTAGTGAAATTAATAAAGCCAAGTACAGAACATCAGGAACCACTGATCTTTGTTTGGCACACGAGGATTAATGCAGTTAAGTGATGGAGCAAGCATGCCTCAGGCATTCTTCAGCCTCTTCTGTGCTTGTCCAGCACTGATTGCTTTTGCCTTGCAGAGCTGTTGAGGTCTGCAGCATGGAGCCAGCTGAAGATGCTAAGACAGAGAGATCTCAGGTGAACAAGATTGGCTTAACATGTAAGTGGAAAGTGCTTTTATTTACTGTTGTGTGCATAAAATTATTGTTTAAATGAGGGAGTGATTTGCAAAGCCATAAGAAGTGGTAGAAGTGTAGGATGGTCTGTCCAGAAACCTCTAAGCATAGGCTTATGTCTGTGCTCCAAGGAGTAAGATGGCTCATGTCACTGACTAATGCAAACCTACCAGGTATTCATGTATTCCAGTCCTTCTTTTTAGTTAGTAATAATTCAAAAAAAAGGGGGGGACTGTTGGTATTTGCTCCTGTTTATATTTCTGTTATGGCAGCAGGGAGTTTCTAAATACGAGACGTTGATCTTTATCTCCAGCCCCTTTACCTCCTGCCTCCAGCATGTGGACAACAGAACGAGATGGAGAAGTGAAACTGAGGATGGATGAGGAGGGCGTAGGCAGCAGGACACCGAAGACTGTTCATGACCTGTTCCAAGAAGCTGTTAGCAAATACAGTGATTATCATGCTCTTGCATTCAAGAAGAATGGCCAGTGGGTAAAGCTGACGTACAAGATGTACTATGACAAGTGCTGGAAAGCAGCCAAAAGCTTTCTGAAGGTGAGCTTTTGTTGAATTCTACTCCATGTGTGTGTCCAGCCGGTGTGGCTGCTGAAGCAGCTGCAGTCAGCTGTGTCTTGAGCTGCAAATTCTCTGAAAGCTGATGAGACTTCAGGTGACAGGAAGATATTTAAATGTGCCATGAACACCCTGGTGGTTGCTGCAGGGGTTTTGTACATGCATACAAAATGTTTCCACATTATATTGAGAGAGAGGGACTTGAGGCATGTGCCAGACCTGGGCAGAGCCCCTCACCAGTCACCTTTCCAGGAGAAAGCATGAAGGAAGCTGCCTGTGAGTCCAGCTGAAATGTTCTGAGCCGTTTGCTTGTGCTGTTGGATATTAAGGCATTCCAAGAGAGAAAGCAGTGTTACATGTTCTCCCTGTCTTATCTTTAGAAAGTCTTATTTCCTGAAGTTAAAGCCAGTTTTTTTTCTCTCCACCCCTGCTGTGGTATCTTCCAGTGCATGCACTTCCACCCTGGTGCAAAACCAAAGAATGGCTGAAGCAGATTTAAAGACCTGAACTTCAGCAGCTGGAATTTCCTAGCTAAGTGTCTCCAATTGGCAGCAGAGCTTCTTCTGGTCATTACTCACATCTGACTTCTCTAACCTGTACTAAATGACTAAATGTCTCAGCTGCAGTTGTTTAACTTCACCTTCTTACCTTCCAAGCCCAAGGGAGCTGACAGCCTGTAGTTCTGTAGCCCTGTGTGTGTCAGTGAGCTAATCATTGAATGCAGACCTGAGCAAATCCAGAAAACCCCTTTTTCCTTTAATTTCTCCCCTTCCACCTACTGATGTAGTTGGACAGTGTGATGATATGAAACTTTGATTGGTTCCATGCTGAGAAAGTGTGCTTGGGAAGTGTGTGTGAATTCCTGCACATAATAGTAGGAGCTTTTAGCCTGACGCTGTGCTCACAGCAAAGATCTGTGAATGAGGTGTTTTTAGAAGGAAAACAAGATTGCTGTAATCTCATCTTCTGTTTCAAGCTGGGACTGGAGCGTTTCCATGGAGTGTGCATCTTGGGATTTAATTCCCCAGAGTGGTTCATTGCTGACGTTGGAGCCATCTTTGCAGGGTAAGATGAGTTTTGGCTCTCACTGCATTTTGTTTTAGCCTTTAGATATTAATCCTGCTTCTGATTTAAAACAAAGCAAGCTCTGCTTATATTTGAACTTAATGAGGGTAGCTACAACCTAAACTCTCTTTACTTCATTACGAATTAATGAGACCAAAAAATCGTATTTTAGCAAGGTACTTCTTTTTTAAAATGAGATGAACAGTGGGTTAATCCAGAATCACAATTGGTTACATTTGGATTAAAAATGTGGTGGTGGGAAAGGTCAGAGCAGCACAGCACCCTTCTGTGTGAGACACTTTGGTCAGTTCTGACGTTACCCACGCACAGAACAAAGCCTCTGTCCTCAGAACTAAGCTTTCTGCTTTTTCTTGTTGCCTTGTGGAACGTTCCTCCTGAGAGCATTCCTCTGCTCAAGTTTAAAATAATCTGATTATTTGCCAACAACTCTGCTTATCCCCCAGCACTGTAATTTTCTCTTTTCTTCTTTTCCATTTTTTCCCCCTTTCCTACTGCAGTGGACTTGCTGTCGGAATCTACACTACCAACTCTCCTGAAGCCTGTCATTATGTGGCAGAGAACTGTAGTGCCAACATTCTGGTTGTGGAAAACCACACACAGCTGCAGAAAATCTTACAAGTAAGTGGAGTCGTTGGATGAGAGGAGGCTGTGCGTCCTGCTGGTGGGTGTGGGAGGGTAAATCTGCCTGTGGGATGTGCTGGATATGGAAGCAGATGTGAACTGACTAAGCCAACTTGATGTGTTCCATGTTTGATCCGGATGAGTGATCACTGGTGCTAAATCTTACTGTAAGATGATGGTGGTTCTGCAGCATGGCAAAGCCTTGAGCTTCAAGTATGATAATCTAGAATAAACAATTGGGGATCCCCTATATTGACTGGAACATCTCAGTCCTGATGATTACTGTGTTTACTGAGGCTTCCCTCTTCTTTTTCAATACCACAGATGAAATTCTCTAAGCTTTACTTCAAATGGAAGTAGCCACACTGAGTGGTGGTTTGCTTGGGATTGAAAGGAACAAGCAGGGTTTGCTCATTCTCATGAATCTCCCTTTCTAACGCAGATTGAGCATAAACTACCTCACCTGAAAGCTATCATCCAGTATGGAGAAGAGATAAAAGAGAAGAGACCAAATCTGTATTCTGTAAGTACTGGCATCTTACTGGATTGTAAATATTGGCTGTGCTTAGTGGTGGCTTGGGAGCAACCATCACCTTCCACTGTCATGGCAAGTGTGCACTGGGTTCAGCACTTGCCTAGATGAAGTGGTAGATGTCTACTGTTGTTCAAACCTTGATAATCCACGTTGTAAGGGAAAGGTGCAACACACTGACCTCTGCTAGATGGCTCTGGGTCCCAGCTTTACTCCTACTTAGCACTCCCAGGGCTGCTGCAGAACTGGGAAGCTTCAAGGTCGATCTGTCTCCTTTTCTGTTTCTTTCCACACCTCCCGTGGCAGCCAGGAAACATCGTGGGGCTGAGATTCTGCTGCAGGATTGAACACAGTTTCTTACTCTTCATCTTGGGCTTAATTTTGTTTGTGAATCATAGCCTATATATAAAGTGATGAAGTTCTTCACTTCTGTGTACAGTGGAAGGAGTTTTTGGACCTTGGTGAAGATGTTCCAGATTCCCAGCTCCGTGAAATCATTGACTCACAGAAGCCTAACCAGTGCTGTACCTTAATTTATACCTCAGGGACAACCGGGCAGCCAAAGGGAGTAATGCTCAGTCACGACAACGTAAGTATCTCTGTATGGACATCCATTCTGAGAGCTGTGGCCCTGGGTGGGTGCTGAGGGCTGGCAGAGGTCAGCTGAAGAGTCACAGCAATTTACAGCCTTCGTTTGTGAGCTGCTTGTTGTGCGTTGTGCCTGCTGAGCTGCTGCTTCATGCTGGGTTGTGTTCTTGTTGCAGCTGACGTGGACACCGATAGCAGCTGGCCATTCCTTAATGCTGTTGGAAGCTACTGAAAAGCAAGAGCTGGTGGTCAGCTATCTGCCCCTCAGTCATGTTGCTGCACAGATTCTGGATATTTGGCTATCGATAACATTTGGAGGACAGGTTTTCTTTGCTCAGCCAGATGCTTTAAAGGTAAAAATATTAGATGACAAAAGAACTTGTGCTCCTCTACCTGCGTGTGTAGCTGGGAGGGGGCGCTTGAATACAAACCTGGGTGGCTTAACAAAGCTTTCAGAATCACGAGATGTTTGTTTGTGTAGGGACAGAGTGCTCCTGTTTAAGGGTCTGTTGGTTTGAAGAGCATGGGCAGCCTGACCTTTGCCTTTTGGGTCTGTATGACATGCCAGGATGAGCTGACCAAGGGCTTCACAACTGGGAGCTCCTCAATATCTCATCTGGCACCGCTTCCATGCCCTGACGTTTTGGTTGAGCTCCATGTTTGCTGGATTTGCTCTGTCCATATTGCAAAATGCCCCCACCTTTACATCTGTGTCATGTGAAGAGAATTTTGTCCCTACGCTGTGCCAGCACGGGATCAAGAGTGTTGAGCCTTGCTGTCTTGTCAAAACCAGTGCAGAATAGGAATGCTTCTGAGGCTCTTTGGTGGAACGTGACAAGAAGAAAAGTGGTGTTGTTCAGTGCTGCTCTGTTTGCACTCGGCAGCAGTGGCACTTCATCTGAAAACGATTCCTCAAGAGCTGATGGCAGTTTGGGCCTTGGCAGGTGAGCAGCACTGACCTGAATCTGTACTAAAGCACCTGTGAAAGCTGTGTTCAATTCTCTTCCTCTCAGGGCACCCTGGTAGACACCCTGCGTGAGGTGAGGCCGACTGCCTTCTTAGGAGTTCCTCGTGTCTGGGAAAAAATAGAGGAAAAAATGAAATCAATCGGTGCGAAATCATCGACGCTGCGAAGAAAAGTGGCATCGTGGGCCAAGGGGGTCGGGCTGCAGACAAACCTGAAATGGATGAATGGGTAATTACAAGCTAACTTAGGGGGGGGTTATGAATATTAAGAGAACTTTAGCTCCCAGGGAGGAATTACGTTGCGTGGAGCAGGCCAGACTCGTGGGCTTCAATTAAAAACCAGATGTAATGGTTGGTCGAGAGGGTGGGCAGCAGTGGTTGGAGGCGGGAGTGATTTCTATTGTTGGTTTTTACTGAAGAAGGCAAATTAGGAGATGGATGAAAGGAGGGTGAGGAGAAGTTTTACTTTCTAACCTGAGATCCTGTTGTAATTTCCCTTCCACAGGTATTCTGAGGTCCCGGTGAACTTCCGCCTGGCCAGGCAGTTGGTGTACAAGAAGGTTCGGAAGGCCATCGGCCTGGATCGGTGCACCAGGTGCTTCACAGGAGCTGCTCCCATTAGCAGAGAGACTCTGGAGTTTTTCTTAAGTCTGAACATCCCTGTGTTTGAGCTGTATGGCATGAGTGAGAGCTCAGGGCCTCACACGGTCTCCATAGCTCAAGCGTTCAGGCTTACCAGGTAAATAACTGCTGTAAGCACATCTCTGCTGGGAGGAGCAGAGATCCTGAGTTTCTCCTGTGCCTGGCTTCTTTGTCTCGGCCACTGCAGCTCAGCCCCACGCTCGCAGCCAGTGGAACATCTCTGGGGAGCCAGTTATGCAGATGAAGAGATCTGCCGAGGGCAAAGGCAGCATTACTTAGACTTGGCCTGGATTCCCTGGGAACTGAGTGGAAAGCACAGGATTTGTGGGAGGAGCAAATTAGTGACTTCAACCCACAGTTCACCTTAATGTCAAATGAATAAATACAGTCGGACTCTTCTGCAGCTTTGAATGGCTCCTTCAGTCCCCGGGGGTTTGGGCTGCAGGGTAACACCACTGCTGGTAGAAGTTTGCCACCAAGATCATAAGTCTCCTAACTCAAAGCTCAGGTGTCTGAGGGCAGTGGGTGGAAGCGCCAGGTGTGTGAGCACTGATCTCTGCAGTAACAGCTTTCTGTACTTCCCTTTGCATAAGCAGATGCCTTTTAAATCTTTAAGTTCCCCATTGGAGTAGTTGTAATAAAAGGCTGCCTGGCTTGGTTCAGACACTTCAGGGTGAGTGGGTGCTGCTGTTGTTTCGCTCTGCTGTTCAGCGACTGGATATAAAAATAGTAATGATGAAAAAAGCCTTGGGTTTGTGTTTGTGTTCTCTTTGTTGAAGCTGTGGGAAGGAAATGGCAGGCTGTCGGACTCTGATCCATAAACCAGATGCAGACGGCATTGGGGAGATCTGCTTTGCAGGAAGGCACATCTTTATGGGCTATTTGAACATGGAGGAGAAAACCAAAGAGGCAATTGATGAAGATGGCTGGCTGCATTCAGGAGATCTTGGCAAGTGTGATAAAGATGGATTCATTTACATCACTGGCAGAATTAAAGGTAATGCTGCACCTTGTCACTCTTCTGTCTTGGAGTCACGCAGTGCTGGGGTCGGAAGCATCAAGGCCTGATAGATTTTGGCTGTGGATTGCACAGAATATTGAGATACTTCTCCTCGTGAAGATTTTAATCTGAATATGGCTGCAGGGTTTGCTGCCAGCAAACACGTGATGCAGCTTGGGAAGGGAGAAGGATGACCTCTGAAACCAGCGTGTGTCAGCAGAGTAAGGCAGAAATCCTGATTTCTTCAGCAGCTTTGCTGCCTTGTGTGCCCTGCTGCCTCCCTCCAGTTCCACCTGGCTTTGCTGGTTAACCTGTAAGAGAAATCAAGGCTTAATGCTGTTGTGAAAATGGCTTGCAGCAACAACAGCTCTTGGCCAACACCGAACAAATCTAATTTCATGAAAGGCTCTAATCATGAGCAAGAGATAAATGGTTGTGCTTTCAGCAATCTATAAAAGACAATAGGAAAGGGGCTCAGCTCTGCTCTGCCTCAGTAAATTTTTGGCTTCAGTTTCTGAACAAGTTGGTTGGATTCCCTGCAGCCTGGGGTGACTGTGGTCATGTGCTGAGGTGGTTGTACTGCACAGCCCGTGATCCCGAGCTGCAAACATCTGTGGAGCATTTGAGAAGCTCCTGCATGGCTGCTCATTTGCACACCTCAGTCCCAGCTCTTGTAGCCTGGCTGGAGTCTTTCTGGTTTGCTGCCTTCTCCAGATGTTGGGACACTCTCCTGATTGGGTCCGTGTTGCCACAGAGGTGCTATGAAGTCATTTCAGGTTGTGAAGGAAGGAAAAAGGAAGCCATAAGCAATAATCAAGATCTGATTGTTTTCCAGAGCTCATCATCACGGCAGGAGGTGAGAACGTTCCTCCTGTTCCAATTGAGGATGCTGTAAAAGAGGCCTGTCCCATCATTAGCAACGCCATGTTGGTTGGAGACAAAGCAAAATTCCTTGCCATGCTTCTGACGCTCAAGGTGGGATTGATTGTGTCTGCTGAGTGGAAAATGGGATGGGCTGAAAGGACGCAGATTATTGTAATACAGTGAGGTGAACTTTTTAATGTTCTACAGCTGCTGGAGCCCGGGGGTGATGCAGTGCATGGTTTGTAGCTGAGTTGCAAACACTGCTTGTACTGTAGAGGAAAATGAGCACTTGCCATCTGATCAGCCAACAACGTTCCACTGTTCAGGGCAACTTTATCTCTGTACCACTTCAGAGAGCAGAAACAGTACTAAGACAAGCTGAAAAAAGAAACTTGCTTTCCTTACCTAAATTTCAGGATCTCCCAGAGCAGTTCAGACAGTAATGAGATGTCAGCCATTTATTTTTAAAGACAGTGGCTTTAAACTCCACAGTGCTGTGGGGGTGGACTCTACTGCTGCCTCTGTCTATGGCTGGAGGGACCTGGTAGGCCAGTGTTTTTCCAGGACAGTGTTAATTGCTCATTAGTGAGGCTTTAGCTGCCAGCTTTCTTGCCCTTGTGCAGGAGATGCTGAGCCAGGCTCTGGTGCTGCTGTTGGGGTGAGGGGCAGTGCTGACTTCCAGCAGGATGCAGTGCTGCTGTGGGATGTGGGCGAGTAAAGCTCTGGCCCTGAGAAGAGGGGAAGACGGTGTCTTGCTTAAGTCTGTATGGCAAGTAAGGATTTGGAGCATGAGTTCTGAGCTCTGCTTGCTTCTGGGTGTTGGACGTAGCTGTTGAATTTGTGGAGACATGAAGGTGTTTTAACAAGCAGCAGTTTGTATGAAGCATATAAAAAGTGGCCAACTGACAGTCGGTGCTGAGGTGGGGAAGGGACACAGCAGCTTCTGTGGGCATAAGGCTTTTTGGGCTGGAGGGATTTTCAACAAGTGACCTCTCCTGACTTGTGTTGCAGTGCACTGTAAATATGGAAAGTGGGGAGCCGGGAGATGAGCTCACTGCAGAAGCTGTTGAATATTGTCAAAAACTGGGCAGCAAGGCTACTAAAGCCTCTGAAATCATAAGCAGCAAAGACAAGGCCGTCTATGCAGCCATCCAGGCAGCAGTTTCAGAAGTCAACAAGAGAGCTGTCTCAAATGCCCAGAAAATCCAGAAGTGGATCATTCTGGAGAAGGACTTTTCTGTCGGTGGTGGAGAGCTGGGTGAGTGGTGGGGGGGAACGGGGAGGTGGGTCCCACCTGTGGGTGTTGGACAGGCAGCACAAACAGAGCCTGGAACATGCAGCCCTGTGGCTGTGCTGTGTCAGCCTTTGGGAGGGCAGGTTGGGTTTTCCTGGACTTCCAGCTCTGCCTGACAGCACTGAGCTGAGCGGCCCTCGGTGCTGTGCTGTCTGCTGCAGGGGGTTGTGCTGGTTGTGTTCGGGGGCAGCGGAGGTGTCGTTAATCACAAACAGCATTTAGAAGTCGGTGCTCTGGATCCTCCAGGCTTCCTTCAGCTCTGACATTGATTTGTGTCCCAAAATGATGCTGTCTGTAGTGCTGGCACTGTTAGATCCCCGTGCTGTGCGTTCTTCACAGGCCCAACAATGAAACTGAAGAGACCGGCAGTGGCACAGAAATACAAAGAGCTGATTGACGAGTTCTATGTGGATGCAAACACACCGACGGCGTCGGAGAACGCGCTGCGGCAGTGAGGGGGCGCGGTAGGAAACTTCCCCTGGTGCACAGCATTCTGTCAGCCTGGGCTCCCTGCAACCGATTCAGAGGGTTCTGCAGAAATAAATGACACTCAGCAACCACGCAGCCTTCCTGAGGTGCTTAGCCGTACATCTATGGGCCCTATGACTGCAGGGTGCTCACACCCCGTTTTCCTGTGTCTCTTCACATGCAGAGAGGTTGCTGTGTGTCCCTGATTTGTATTTTTCCTTTTTCTTTTTTTTATAAGGGCAATGCATTTACCGTGTTAATTCACAGTGTATGGTGTGTCTTTACCAAAGTTTTCTTTTCCCATGCTCAATGTAAAACAACCAGGATCTGCCCTTTTCCTGCTGTGTAGGGAAGGCAGAGCTCCTTTTAGAGCAGTCTGTTTTGTTTTCCTCGATGCATGTTCAATTGCATGCTGATGACATGGGAGTTATTTTGTATGGCTTTATCCACAACCCATCATCTGTTAAGTGAGGCCAATGCTGTGGGACTGCACACCCTGGCAAGTCTGCGTGGAACCTGGAGTTCACCAGGTGGGTTTGTGCAATACTTGGAGTCTGTTTCAGCTTCCTGAGTCACAATGAAACCATAAATTATATTGTTTAAGTAGCATACATGGACTAGATTGTTTTAAAAGGCTGTGTTCATGTGTGTAACCTCTGCCTGCAGTCTTACAATCATAGAAACGTTTAGGTGGCACTCTGGAGCTGTGGGGCTGTTGGCTGATGTACAGAGAAGTTTAGAGGAGACAGCACAGGGAACAGCAGCTCCTGAGCTCCTCGGTGGTTCTGTGAGGCTCGTTCCTGTCTGTCCCTGCCTGGAGGGCCTTCAGATCCCCTCAGCAAATGAAGGACTGTTTGTAAAATGGCTTTTTTTTCAAACTAGAAATGTTTGATCTGAAAAGAGAGCAGAAGAAGTTGTGTGCTGGTCCTGACTCTTGTTTTTCCCTGGACAAAACAGGAGCACCCAGAGCTGTTGGGTGCTTTGAGTGGAAATGGCAGACAGGGAAAAAGCAACGACCCCTTTAAATAATGCAGAGCTCCAGCAAGCCCCTGCCTGCACGTTGTTGGTTCTGTGCCTCTGTCAAATCCTGCAGGGGTCAGGGAGCGTTTGCAGTCCTCAGAACCAGGAACCTTGGGGGGGTTAAAGATTGTATTTAATTGTATTTAATTTGGGCTCAGCACCACAGCAAACAGCTCAGTGAGGTGCCCACAGTGCCTGCATGGAGTGTGGTTCTGCATCATGGGAACAGCTGCTCTTCTTGTGCAACCATTTCTCAGCTGTGTGAGTTGGAAGTGTCTCAACTTTCAGAGCAATGCCTAATAAATGCCCTGTGCTTTGTGTCTTCATGCTTTGGTAATTTTTGTACAACAGTGCTCAGCTCTGAGGTACAAAGGTCCAAACCAACCTTTCCGTATCGCCACTGCATGGGAACTGTTCTCAGTAAGCACCAAGGGTGCAGACGTGCTCCCAGCCCTGAGCACCCGGCACAGGATTTAAGCTCTGTAACAGCCTCTGCTCGCAGCCTCCAGGGGAGGAAGGCTCTGCCCCCCCCGGGTTCAGTTGGACCCTCAGCCCCCAGCAGGAGCAGCAGCACCTGGGAGCTTTGCAGGCAGCTCAGGAGCTGCAAAAAGCACAGGGCTGGGTCTGAGGTTGAGGCCACAGCTGCAGTGCTTCGACTCAACACAGGGAGGTGACCACGGATGCGGCTGTGCAGAAGCAATGCAATGAACAGAAAACCCTGGAAGTCGTACTTTTCCATCTTACTTTATTTCACTTTTTCTAGAAAATTCCTCCGTAGTTCCACAAATTTAACAAAAAGGTTTAAAATTCAGGACAAACAATCCTGTAACGTATTACAAACATGATTATTTTTGTCATCTTGAAGTTAGTCTTGGGCCAGCTGAACTTCTTACAGCTGAGAGCAGAATTCATTTCCCAACACAACTCTGAAAATCCTCAAGTGAGAAGGTATTTAATACCTCTAGGCAGAAATACAATTAAAAATTACCTAGTTGAAGTACTTACATTTTTCTTTAGGAGTGCAAACTCATCTCTTCCGTTTTTGATGGCTATTTCGTGCCCCCATGACGGCAACGCCGAGCAGTTCTCATCTTTCAGAAGCACCACGTGGGATGGCTGTAGCATTGAGGTGAACCTGGGGTGGGACAGAGGAGCTCCAACCGCGCTCCAGCGCTCTGGAGGTGCCACGCGGGCAGAGCAGATGGGCCGAGCTCATCTTGAGTCTGAACCTCCCACCAAACACCACCGAGATCTGACAAACCGCTCCTGGATGGTTGCATCCATTTCTCTGCCAGTTCTGATGCTGGCGCAGCACACAGCACTGAGAACTGGTGGCAGCCATTGCACTTCCACGTATCCAGCCTGACCACAGCGCAGCCAGTCTTGTCACCAACGCGTCCGCGACTCCTCAGCCGGCGCTCCGGGAGCCAGCCAGCGTTACTGCCTTTTGTTTTCTTTCTTTTTTAGTAGTAAATGTCAGTAATCAAAGCCTCAAGGCTTAATACATGCCAGACCGAGACAACAGGAAAATTCTCCTGACCCTTCTTTTGCCCTTTAATACGAAGGCCAAGGACAAAGGAAAAGCTGCGTCCTGATCTTAACCTCCAGCGCCATTCAAAGCAACTCTGACAGCCTTCAGACCGACCAGCACTGATCCGTGCCTTCAGGGTCGAGGTGAAGGACACGAAAGTAACCGAGTTCTGTCCACTTTCCATGGAAAAACCGTTATGGCTAGAAGTCAATTTTGGATATATATATATTTTTCCTTTTTTAAACAATGCAAATGCTACTACACATCCTCGAAGACCTGAAGCAATGCTGACAGCAGCACCGCCACCTCCTTCCTATTGAACAATAATCCATCCATGCTCTCAAGAGTGACACAAGAACAAACACGTTATCCACAAATACCTGTACACGGCATGTCCAGAACAGCATTCAGCCAGCCTATAGAGAATCTACACAGGGAACTCGTCCATATGCAACTAGGAGGGGACACCAGATGAGGCCCAAATTCGACCATCCTTTGTTTGCAGAGTCGTTCCTCCTGCGGTCCCCAACGCTACCACATACCCCAAAAAACAACAACTCTGTAGAACAACTAAGTACTTGCAAGAAACCTTTTAGTAACAAATCAGCATGTGCACACAATGGAGGAGAACTATTGCTGGGGGAACAATCCTATTTTGGGTTTTCAAGGAGATTATAAAGAGTCTAAAAAAATCCATGTGTAAAATACTTCTTATAAAAACCGAACAAAATTCCCATCGACGCTCGTCAGACTTCACAAATAAAGTCGGTTCCAGGGCAGGACGATGCCACAGCTGTGGGCAAAAGCCCCGCGTGCTTCCAGCCAGGCTCAGGAACGCCATCGCAGCGCTCGGCCCCACGGGCAGCGGCAGTGACGACAGATCCGTGTGTGATGGAGGCAGGACGGCGACTCAGATCCTGACAGCGCCAGGAGAAACTGCTGCCAGGACAGAGAGCGCGGCTGGAACAGCTGCAGGAGGAGGAGACCTCGTGGGGAGAGCAGGCAAAGGCCTTGGGAGAACATCAGCACTGTGGCTTGGGCTGCCCGTCACCACCGCTCCACTGCTTTGGGGACGGCAGGGTCACAAACCCACCCTGCGTGAGGGCTGGGGCAGCTTCCTGTGTGCCACAGAGCCGACGGGGACCGGAGCAGCTCCAAATACCCACCACACCCAGAGCAAAGCCGTGGACGCTCGTGAGCCACATCTGCCATCTCCAGCGCAGCACATCCCATCAGCAGCTGAGCTCCTCTTCCTGCTCTCCTCCACCTTCTCACTGTGCACACAGGGTTTCTATCCAGGCTTGGCATCGTCCATCAGGAAAGAAAGCAGCTGAGATCACTGCTGTGATAGGGAACGCACCTGGCATGAGCTGGATTATTTTTCTTTTTATATATATAGGTATATACACACGCACGAGACACATGAAAGATGGTACAAAGACAAAATTAATGGGAATCGGGTCAACATGACCCAACTCAAACAAGCTTATCATCATATTGCCACTTCAGTTGATTAGTTGCAACATTTCCATGATAAAGAAAGGGGGAACCCAAAACAAGGGACTGCAATTTCATCACTGAGAAGGGACAGCAAACCCTGGAGCCACGCAGCCCCCCACGGCTCTGCACAGAGCAGAGGCTCCTCAGGAGCTGCTCTCCTCACTGCCAGCAGCCCACCCAGCATTTGGCAAAAGCTTACAACGCTGATTGGAAAAAAAGGAGCAATTCTTCCCCCAAAAATACTGAATGTAGGGAACAGGAGTGTAACACAGCTTTGATAAGAGCTACAGGGCTTTCCCCATACCCACACGGCACACAGACGACACCTGGAGGTCTAGTTTAACTAGAAATACACAAATGGTTCTGGGTTAGTGTTCACGGCCACTTCTTGCACGGCTGTGAGGGGGAGGAGGGAGGAGGAAAGGAACCTGGTCTCACTCGGTGTTACATCAGTGTTTTCCAGGTGTGTCCCGAGATAAAATTCTCCCTTGTTTTGGTTTTCCCAAAGTACAGCCACTACTATAGGGGCCACTGTAGGAGATTCCTCTTTGAGAACATAGAACAAAACCAATCACGTATTTTGGCAAAGTTTTTCAACACTGACAAATGAAAAAGACAACAGGTGAGTCCCTTCCAGAGCACAAAACGCTTTGAAGATCGCTGTTCAGCTTTCATACACTAAAAATTGTCCACAAGAGGCATTTTAACAAACAAGTCAATCTTACTAAGCGCCCTTCCCCTGCCATAGCCATTAAAAAACAACAGAAAAACACACCCTTAAAATCATAAGACCCAACTAGGCCCTTCTTATACATACAGTACATACATATATATAATATATATATAAAATATACAGCTTACAGTTTTGTAGTCCTATTACAGTTAAAGCAGACTGAAAGGAGTGAGACTTTGTTTAGGAGCTCAGGTCAACAAACAAAGACGTCTCCAGACCCCAATGGGACACAGCAGATTGGAGAGGGCCTCTTAGGGAGCACAAACCACCCTGCAGGCAGCCGGAACAGAGCACAGCCCTGCAGCCACCGAACGGCAGCAGCACTCCGTGCCCAACTGCAACACAACTCACAGAGCGAGCCAAACCAGCATCTGTCTGCTTTCCTCCACGGCGGACCAACGAGACTCCCAGAGCTCCTCTGTCACCAGCAGCCTCTCGGCGAGCTTTGTAAAAGCCAACGCGGCACGGATGCTTCTCCACGGAGCTGAAGGAAACCGGACTGACCGGAGCTCTCTGCAGGCTGGTCCCAAAGACCTGGGGAGGAAAACATCGCCCGCGCTTCTTCAGGTCTCAGAGTTGCCTGCAAACGTCCTTCAAACAGTTTCTTGAAGTAAAACCAGAAGGGCCGCGCTGCGGTCGGGCGCAGCCGTTCTTCTGCTCTGCTCAGGACCTGCGCCCAAGCGGACTTAGGAAGCTGGGGAGGACAGACTCAGCAATATGGGTGCTTGTTTGAAGCCTACAAGAAAGTGCAGCTGGCTGTGCATTCATAGAGCATGGCTGTTCTCTAAGGCAGTGCTTCGGGTGAATCGAGAGAATAAGAAGGCCTAGTTCCATGGGTTCGTTTCCTGGTACCAATAAAGGGGATTTCTGGTTTCAAAAGCAGCCTGCTTCCAAGGCCGAGGTCATGTTGCTACTGCTTCCAGGTAGCTCTGCAGCTTACGAACAGTTGTTTCATCCAGGGAGAAGAGGTCAAAGTCAAAGGTTGTGTTGGTAACGTTAAAATGCCCCGTTTCCTCAATGAGGTTCACAATCTGTAACGGAGATGAGCAGCAATATCGATAGAGCCCGTAAAGATTAAGCACCCCAGAAGGACTGGCAGATACAAAGCAACCCTCCTCTCCTTTCTGTATCCCTTTAGAAAAGCCTCAGAGTCACGTGCCTCTCACAACCAGAAAATCTCCCAGAAAAGCAAAGCAGCTCCTCCTGCTCTAACTCAGTCTGGGAAGCAACCTGGGCACGTTTCCTCTGCCATCAGACAGCCCAGCTTTGGGACAGCTACCAGAACGACAGAGAGATGCACAAACCACACTTCTGTGCCTTTTTCAACAAAAGCAACGCATGCACATCTGATTTTTTTTTTCTACAGATCTGCATTTAAAGTGAACCAGACCATCTCAAGAAGGAGAGGCAGCGAAAAGCCAAGCATCACAGGGGTCTGCCTGAGACCCTTGGACACGGAGTTTACCAGAGTACAGAAAGCTGACCAATGATCTCTACCTGCTGCAGCACATTGCGCTCTCGTAGTGCCATGAGTCGCCTGTGAAGCTCCACTAATTCATCAG